GCATGTTGAAGACAGAATTAGTCATGGTTTTATATTGAATCAGTCTTAGAATATTTCATTTAGATGCAAAATTTGAGAAACCCAGAACTTCAAAGAATTGATTTTTTTCTGTATTAGTTAAATGTTATTTTTAAAAATTAAAATATTCTTTTCACCTGTTGAAAATAGTCTAATATTTTTCCTTAGAGTTAACTAGCAGGCAAAGGTACTGGAATAGTATGTATTTTTCAAAAAATATCTAAAATATTGAATGTTTTGTATCTTGATAATCTTTTTCACAAGATTGTTTCCTCTTTTGGGAGTAAAATTAAAAGTTGCAGCTCTCTACTGAGATCCCCAAATTATCCCATGGTGTCTGCCAGCAAGACTAGAAATGTATCGGCTCTTCAGATTTCCAAGAAATATTAAAAAAATAATGTAGTATGATATAAAAGTCCTTGCATCTCAATTTTTGAAATTGCAGGTGGAGAACTCAAGGATGAGAAAATGAAGCACAGTACATGACGCTTCACTTACATAGTGAAAAGCTACAGCATGTGAGGAACTTAGGCAATTTAGGCAATTGTGACCTGTTTAGCAAGTACAAATTTTTTATCATTAAACTTGATGTAAAAGGAGGTGTGGCCACATTTCACCATGCAGCTCTGCAAGTGAACACAAAACTACTGCTTTTAGCTATAACACAGGAATTAGTTTCAGAAAAGTGAGGATATAATTTTTAACAGCTGATTCGATTTGAAGTTTTATTTGAGGATATATTTGCTTCGAACTTTGTTCTTTACAGCTTAAGCAGGTGATCCTCATAGAGGTTTTATAAGTGTTGGAACTGAGGTTGAGAACTGTGGGGGTTTTGGTTTTAGTTTATTTTTTCAAGCAGTGAAACATAGTTTCTCTGAAAAACAAGAAAACTGCTGCTCAAAATGGTTCTTAAATGTCTTCACTGAAAACAGGCAAAAGGTAAACAGAAATAATAAAATATGAGTTGTTAAATATCAGGTGAAGTATAAATATGTTGTTTAGCCCTTGAGGTTTTGCCTTTCGTCTGAGATAATTACAGTCCAAAGTTGAGGCAGGCGTTTGATGAAGTGGGCCTTATACTGACTGAAAGGGGTGGAGGCCCTGGATCCTTCCGAGAGCTGTGCCAGGTTGGATTCTGTACTGCACTCCAGCTCACGTGGGCCTTTTCACCGGATAAACACACAACTCTAGAGGCTCTGGTACGCGCCCTACACGCCACAGGTCGTGCCCTAGTCTACTGAACCCGGAGGAAAACTTGGGAAAAGCAGCCTCACCATTGTGGGGAGGGCTTGCTTACTTTATAGAGCAGAGCTTCAAAATGTCCCGTACCCTTAAGTATGAAATGTTAGCATGTATTCCTTACTTAATGTATTTATTAACAAAACATGCTACTGTAGCATGGACATGAATTTGAGCGAACTCCGGGAGATAGTGAAGGACAGGGGAGTCTGGTGTGCTGCAGTCCATGGGTTGCAAAGAGTCGGACATGACTTAGTGACTGAATGACAGTAACTACTGTAACAGTGGATATTCTAAAACTTGCCTCATATCTGAAAAGCTGTAAGGCTTAAACATTGTAGTAAAAAATTTGTTTAATAGCCCCTTTTGTTCTCACTGAGAACATTGACATGTAATGCATGGCAGAGTAATATAGTGAAAATGTATCACTGTCTTGAAAATCCATGCTTAGAATTTTAATGCTGTGTGGTACTTTGGCTTGAATGTCTGGTTCCAAGTACTGTTTATTTTGAAATTGGTTTTGAAGTGTCATAGCTGGAAAAGATACCATACTATGGTAAAAAAAGATTCTAATTGAAGTGAGTGCTGGGTGTACTTACAAATAAGGGGATTTATATTTTAATCCCATCCAACAGTTATACAAGAGTTTGTTTAAATGTAGCTAGTAAATTCGCGTTTTTCCTGATGTTAATCATTCTTCCTGCAAATTAATCAAAAGTTGTTGCATTAAAAAGAAAAAAACCCATGAAACATTTGGCAACGTTAAAGAAGTATATTAGAAAGCCTTTCCCCAAAATTTTAAGACTGTGTGTATGAGGGCTTTTGCAGGTGGCAAACTTTAAATAATTTTTGCATTAAGATCACAAAATGAAAACATACAAATACTTTTTCAGAATGTTTTTATAATGGTGTGTACTGTCTACAACCTGTTTCTTTTGAGGTGCCTTTTCTTTTTCACTTATTAAATATCACCCCTCTCTAGAAGGGATAGGGTATTTATTCGAAAAATATTTTAAGAAAAATCTGCTATAAACAGCCAGTTTTAATCTTGGAAAGCCCAGCAAAAATTTGGAACACTTCTATTTTTGTTCTAGAAGATCAGGTAGTACATGTTTGGCAACTTTTTAAAGTACTTTGCTGCGATAACCAACACCCTTTAATGTGGTAAAGATTTTTATGGTCATTTCCCGTCTTGTTGCAGCGATTGTAAAGATTTGACCATGTTTAAAGGTCTTATTTCTATAAAATTAACCACACTGACATCCTGTGAAACTGTGTGCTTTTGGCTTCAAGTTCTTTGTTACGATATCTCACCCATGAATGATACAGTGAATGGATTTTGCATTTGTGCTTTTTAAACTTCCTGTCTGAGAAGTTGCCTTATCAGGGTTGTATTTTGGCCATTATTTATTGAAACAGTAATTCACTCGTCAGAAAATCTTCATATTCTCACCCAAAGTTACTTTTTAAATGTATTTTATCAGACAAAATCTAATACCATCTTTACTTTCCTCTAACTCAATGGTGGGTCTTCCACACAGCTTAAAATATTCATTTTTAAAGTTTTGCTCCTAAAGGAATGTACTTTAGTTTGTATACTTTGTGTTTTTTATTCTGTTTCAGCCATGTTTTCTTTGCGCTGTGTTTACCGTAGAATGCATTCATTTCTTTTACCATTAAGTAGAAATCTTCAAAGAATCTTCTGATATTCTCAAGTTCAGTGAAGTTTTATAAAAGATTGGAATTGTGTATGGCATGACTGTTAACAGGTGAAAAATGACCAGTATTTTGAGACACAGCATACATTTAGTGTGAGCATCATGGTACATGTGCTGTGGATATACATACATTTGAAAGTGAAAGTCGCTCAGTCGTGTCCCACTCTGCGATCCCAAGGACTATAGTCCATGGAATTCTCTAGATCAGAATACTGGAATGGGTAGCCTTTCCCTTCTCCAGGGGATCTTCCCAACCCAGGGACCGAACCCAGGTCTCCCACATTGCAGGCAGATTCTTTAGCAGCTGAGCCTCCCAGGGAAGCCCTACATGTTTTACATTTTATTTATTTATTTTTGGCTGCACTGGGTCTGTCTGTGTTGCTGAGTATGGGCTTCCTCTAGTTGTGTTGTGCGAGCTTCTCATTATGGCCATCTCTCTTGTGGAGCACAGGCTCTAGTCACACGGGCTCCAGTCGCTGTGGCTCGTGGGCCCAGAGCCCAGGCTCAGCAGTTGTGGTGCAGGGTCTTGGTTGCTGCTCAGCATGCGGAGTCTTCCTGGCCTTCCCTGCGTTGTCGTCGGGCAGATTCCCATCCATCGTCCCACCAGGGAGGTCCTCCATTCATATTTTAAATGCCTTCTTGATCATTTTGAATCTTGGGGGCGTGTACTCCTCAGTGCTCTCAGGGTGGTCATTATTTTTATTCCATCGTGTAGCTGATGAATAGTTCCTTTTGGGATTCGGAGCCTCAGTTTTGTCATTTTTGTGGTTAGTGTTATTTTTAATTTGAACTTTCTTACCTCCTTAAACCATTCATCCAATTTATGAGGTTAGTTTCATTAAAAATCAGTAATGATAGCCTGTAAGCCCATTTAGGTGTGTCCACATGAACTGCCCCAGGGCACAAAGTGTTGAAAACGAGGACCGAGGGGGGGGGTGGCGGCTGCCAGCCCCTCGGCCTTGTGATGCCCTCGGTCTTCTCAGGATGAGTCGTGGAAGGTGTCTCATGCCCAGAAGGGTGGCCAGCGCCAGCATGTTTGTGAACTATTAGTAAAACGCGAGCTAAATGATTTTATAAAAAAATAAAATAGAATTATTTGTATTTGTTCTCTGGGTCAAGTCTGTCCTCTAGGGATTACTGTACTCAAAAGTCACAATTCAGGTGCTACGTGTCTGTTACTTAAGAGACAGCCCCAAGGTACTGCTGCTGGTGGTGGCCTGGGGCCCAGGACCAGGCTTGGCCTGGTGAACAGAACTCTGTCCCAGAGGACGCAGATGGGTGGGGGGAGAGAGGGAAGGTGATGGGGGCCGTGAGTCTCCTTGTCGACCCTGCTCAGAGTTCACATGCAGCCCACTCTTCACTTTCTTCCCATCTTGAGGTGTCTGTTGTTCAGCTGTGAGCTCTTTGAGGGGTGGATCACTTCCTGGTCATCTTTGTGCAATGCTGAGCCCATTGAAGGTGTTCAGTGAACCTCTTTTAAATGATGCTCCTTTTGTCTAAGCTGCTAGCTGGTTTCTGGGTGCAGATGGGGTAGGTACAGCTAGTGGAGAGGCTGTTTAGCCTGACAGCGGGCTGCCTCCCTCCAGAGAAAGCTTTCAGGTCCTGAGTAACAGGTCCTAGATCTGTCTTGTCACCATAGGCTCCTGCCTTGTCCAGCCAAGAGTGGATTCTGACCTCAGAGTAGCCTAAGTGATTAACTAAGGCAAAACCTGCAACATGCTTGTGTTGGCCTTTCTTGGCTTTCTGAAATATATTGATAATTTCTGTTTGGGAGCAGTCAGTGGGATAATGTTGGGGGTGATAGGTTTTCCTTATTGTAGATATTCATGTGAAAGAAGAAAGGGGGGAAGTTATTTTATGCGGAGAGCATCTTATTCCTTTGTTCTTAGTTTTGTCTCTGCAGTTTTCCTATCTAGTGGGTATCTCTTTCCTCCGTGATGTTAACTGAAAGGCAGGATACAGCTCTACTGGTTGGTCACACGGGGACTCCTCCAATAACTCTCCTGTTTGTTATTTTCATTGCAGATGCGGAAACCATGGAGCTGAACTGCAGTGAAGTACCTCTGTATGTAAGTGCCTAAGCCCTGAGCTGCGTGCCTAAGCCCTGAGCTGCAGGCCTAAGTGGCTCATTCTTGGACTTGAAACCCACGCGACCAAAGTGGGAAGAAATGTTTTGCTGCTATTGAGTTGGGACTTTTAAAAAACCACACACAGCTTTACTGTCTAGTTCACGTTTTTGCATGGAGACTTTTAAAACTGGTTGACTCCTGGTTCCAAAGTCTAGGTTTTAATGGTATTTTCCCGAGGAACTTTTAACTATATAACTTCTGGAAGGCAGCTCTGCTCACCACTATATCACCAATACTTAATTAACTTCTGGACTCAAAAATACTCAGTTTATCTCTGTGGATGATTTTTGAACACATTATTATATGATATGCTGATAATAACCAAGAATGTTTTTTGTGTGTATCTTTGGAGGAGTGGGGTTCAATGATAGTTGGTAAGATGATAGTCAGGTAAAATCATGAAATAGGAGCTCACAGGCACAAGTGCTGGGACATACATAAAATCGGTGGTGGGTTGGAGGCGGGTGTGTGGCCAGAGCAGCCTGGTGAGGCTCCTTATCAGATGTGCCTTCTGGGCTGACGGAGGATTCTGTTCCTGAAGGCAGTTACTAGGTGTAACAGAAGTGAACCAATTGTCTCCCCACATAGAAAATGGCAGATGATTTTCTCTACCTTCCTTATTTTAGGCATAACCTCTTTCCTTGGACACCTATGTTGGTGGCGGGTGGGCATGGGTATATGCATTGGAACTGGGGTTTCAGGTAGCCTTTGAATCATCCACTCATGAAATACACCAAGAATATTAAATCTAGAATAAGGGTATGATCTCAATTTAGATATATCCCAAATAGACAAAATATCAAGGAACTGGAACAAATTTGAATAGAATCTTAAATCAATTAAAATATAGTCACTCGTTTCCCCTTAGCACACATCACTACTCAGGTGGCCCTCCCTCTCTCCCTTCCTCCCCCCGCCCCGCCTGCTCCCCCACCCTCCCCCAGCTGCATCCTCCCCTCCCCCTTACATATTCCACTCTATTCTCTGGAGAAAAACAAATTGATAAAATAACTGAATCATGAAAAAGCTGCCTTCTGGGTTACCCAGTGGTCTAGAGTGTTCTCTCTAGGTTGTGGTTTGGAGATCATAAAATGAATTATAGATAGTTAGACTTGGCCTAGCCATAATTAAGATTAAAAGAAGAGATTGGTTCAAGGCTAAATTTAGACTACTTTAGTCCCCATTTGGTCCCAAGTTTTTAATTTTTTAAATTTTTTGGCAACTTAATCCTCCTTAGCTTTATTTTTTCTACTCTGCTCCCATACCTCAAACCAAACAGATCTAAAATCTAATTATGATATAAAACCTTGTAGTTTTTTAAAAAATTGAAGTATGTTTGATGTACAGTGTTGGATTAGTTTCTGCTCTATAGTAGTGATTCAGTTATACACACATACACACACACATATATATAACTATATATATAGTTTTTTCTTTTTTATATTCTTTTCCATTATGGTTTATTATACTGAATATAGTTCCCTGTGCTGTACAGTGGGACCTTGTTGTTTATCTATTTTATGTATAGTAGTTTGTATCCTAGGTGGCTCAGTGGTAAAGAATTCACCTGCTAATGCAGGAGTCATGGGTTCGGTTTCTGGGTTGGGAAGATCCCCTGGAGGAAGAAGTGGCAACCCACTTCAGTATGCTTGCCTAGGAAATCCCATGGCAAAGGAACCTGGTGGGGCAGTCCATGGGGTCGTGAAAGAGTTGGACTCGACTTATTGACTAAGTAACAATAATCTGCTAATCCCAAACTCCTAATTTATCCCTCTTCCATACCCTTTTCCCTTTGGTAGATGTAAGTTTGTTTTCTATGTCTGTGAGGCTATTTCTGTTTCATAAGTAAGTTCATTTGTGTTGTATTTTAGATTCTATATATAAGTGATATCATATGGCATTTTTTGTTTTCTTTCTGACTTTATGTAGTACAATAATTTGTAGGTCCATTCATGTTGCTGCAAATGGCATTATTTCATTCTTTTTTATGGTTGAGTAATATTCTGTTCCATATATACACACACACCACATCTTTATCCATTTATCTGTCAGTGGACATTTAGGGCACTTCCATGTCTTAGCTATTTGTAAATAGTGCTACTATGAACATAGGGGTGCATTGTATCTACTTGAATTAGAGTTTCCTCCAGATAAATGCCCAGGAGTGGGATTACTGGATAACATGGCAACTCTATTTTTATTTTTTAAGGAACCTCCATAGTGTTTTTCCTAGGGGCTGCATCAGTTTACATTCTCACCAGCAGTGTAGGAGGGTTTCCTTTTCTCCACACCCGCCACCCCGCCCCAACCCCCACCCCAGCATTTGTTGTTTGTAGACTTTTTGATGATGGCCATTCTGACCAGTGTATGGTGGTACCTCACTGTATTTTGATTTCTGTTTCTCTAATAATTAATGATGTTAAGCACCTTTTCATGTGCCTGTTGACCATCTGTATGTTGTCTTCAGAGAAATGTCTATTTTGGTCTTCTGCTCATTTTTTATTGGGCTTTTGTTTTTTTGTTATTGAGTTGTATGAGCTGTTTGTATATTTTGAAAATTAAGCCCTTGTCAGTTGCATCATTTGCAAATGTTTTCTCCCACTCAGTAGGTTGTCTTTTTGTTTTGTTTATGGTTTCTTTTTCTGTGAAAAAATTTATAAGTTTGATTAGGTCTCATTTGTTTATTTTTGCTTTTATTTCTGTTGCCTTGGGTGATTGAGATAAGAGAACATTGCTATGATTGATGTCAGAGAGTGTTTCGCCTATGTTCTCTTCTAGGAGTTTTACGGTGTCACACCTTGTGTTTAAGTCTTTAAGCCATTTTGAGTTTATTTTTGTGTATAGTATGAGGGATTGTTCTAACTTCGTTGATTTATATGCAGCTATCCTGGATAGCTGCATTCCCAACACCACTAGCCGAGGAGACTGTCTTTTCTTTATTGTATGTTCTTGTACCCTTTGTTGCAGGTTGACTGTAGGAGTGTAAGTTTATTTCTCTGTTCTGTCCCATTGATCCATATGTCTTTTTTGGTGTGTGCAGTACCTAGTGCCTTGTTTACTGTAGCTTTGTATTATTGTCTGAAGTCTGGGAGGATTATGCCTCCAGCTTTCAAAACCTTGTAATTGATTAACACTTTGGTATAACTATTTTGAACCGAGACTACCAGATTAAGACCAGATTTGGAAAGAGTCAATACACATTGCTTAAGGAGAGAAGACAAGCAGACCAAAGGAAAGCAAAAAAGTCTTTTTTAAAAATTATCAAATAATATAAACTAATTAGGAAAAACCAAAAAATACAGAAAGTGTGAAGAAAATAAGTCACTCATAATCTCATCCTCTATAGATAGTTTAAAACAGGGATCCCCAGCCCCTGGGCCACAGACTGGTACTGGTCTGTGGCCTCTTAGAAACCGGGCCCTCAGCAGGAGGTGAGTGGTGAGTGAGCAAGCAAAGCTTCATCTGTGTTTTCAGCTGCTCCCCATCGCTTGCATTATCACCCGAGCCCCACCTCATGCCAGATCATTGGCGATATTAGATTCTTATAGGGGTGCGAACCCTACTGTAAACTGCATGTGTGAGAGATGTAGGTTGTGTGCTCCTGATGAGAAGTTAATGTCTGATGATCTGAGGTGGAGTTGAGGCAGTTGAATCATCCCGAAACCATTCTGCACCCCCCAGTCCATGGAAAAATTGTCTTTCGTGAAACCATTCCCTAGTGCCAAAACGGTTGGGGACTGATGGTTTAAAACATTATTATTATTTGTCAGTTTAAACATGTGATTTTCTCATTTTACATCTCTGAAGTTGAGATAATCCCACTTCAGTGTTTATCCTGGCAGGTGTCATGAGGGAGCTGTCAGTACCTACGCATGTGTGACCTTGGTCACAATTGTCCACACTGTTGTCATTTTAAATTTCATATGTGCCTTTCTGGTTCTGTATGAGTTAATTGCTTTCAAAATGATTTCACTGTGATTTGGCATTAAAAAGTCAGAGTTACTGTGTATATCGAAAGACATGGAAAGAGCAATATGATAATGTGGTAAAGTCTATAAATTTCGATGAGCTCTTTTAATAAGTATAAAATCTCACAAAACTTGGCAGCTTTTTCTCCTAGTGGGATATAAGATGCGTATTATAACTGGTATCTCAGATGAAATGCACTATATTTAGCATAACTGAAACGTGCTTTTTCACTTGATGTTTCATGTCAGCATCTTTATGGATGTCCTAAGCCAATCTGCCCATTTGACTTCATGCAGTGCAGTCAGGGGGAAGTATTATAATGAAAACAAGTTTTAAATAAGATTTCATCAGATGAGTAACACATAGGCAAAGCAGACACAATCTAGGCTATTATTTGTTTTTGTATCTTGGGGCAGGCTTCCTCTGTGACCTTCTGTCTTCAGATGTTTCATAAATATTCACTTCTGTTTTCTCCTAGTTTACTGAGATCTGGTTGTAAGCGCATAATATTTTATTCATATTTATTATATTATATATATTTATTTAAAAATACATGCAAAAATCAACACCATTTTTAATCCTGTTGTGCATAATGATGTTGACATTTTGGTGTATTTTTTTTCCAGAGTTTTTCTATAAATTTGTGTTTAATTTTATTGAAGTTCTTTTGGCATTTATTTATATGACGTGTTTTCTCATGTGACTGATACACTGAATCTCAGAATTTTAATACTTTCCAGTGTATTTCCAGTGATTCTATCTAGTTGTCATGACTAGTTCTTTTGGAAAAACAAGATGACTCTAAGTGTGATTAAGAGAGAACCCAAACAAAACTAGAAATTATGAAGGGTCCTTAACATATTGAGATGATTGGCTGTTGTCGTTTCAGTCCCTCAGTTGTGTCTGACTCTTTGAGACCGCATGGACCGCAGCACGCCATGCTTCCAGGTCCTTCACCATCTCCTGGAGTT